TATATATATATATATATATTTATATATTGATATATTTATATATTTATATTTTGATATATTTATATATTTATATATTTATATATTTATATATTTATATATTTATATATTTATATATTTATATATTTATATATTTATATATTTATATATTTATATATTTATATATTTATATATTTATATATTTATATATTTATATATTTATTTCTATCCTTATACATTTATATTTTCATATATTTATATATTTAAAAAAAAAATATTAAATTTTAAAAATAATATTTTATTTTTAAAAATAAATATTAAAAAAAGATTTAAAAATATATATAAATTATATTTACATGTACAAAATATTAAAGATATATATTTATATCTTTACATATTTATATATTTATATATTATATCTTTATATCTTTACATATCTTTATATCTTTACCTATATTTATATCTATATATATATATATATATATATATATATATATATATATATATATATATATATTTATAAAATCTATAAATACAAATATATTTATATATTTAAATATTGATATAATGATATATTTATATATTTACATATTTATATATTTACATATTTATATATTTACATATTTATATATTTATATATTCATATATTTATTTATATCCTTATACATTTATATCTTTATATATTTATATATTAAAAAAAATTTAAATATTAAATTTTAAAAATAATATTTTATTTTTAAAAATAAATATTAAAAAAAGATTTTAAAATATATATAAATTATATTTAGATGTACAAAATATTAAAGATATATATTTATATCTTTACATATTTGTATATTTATATATTTATATATTATATCTTTATATCTTTACATATCTTTATATCTTTACCTATATTTATATCTTTATATATATATATATATATATATATATATATATATATATATTTATTTATTTATTTATTTATATCTTTATATATTTATAAAATCTATAAATACAAATATATTTATATATTTAAATATTGATATAATGATATATTTATATATTTATATATTTACATATTTATATATTTACATATTTATATATTTATATATTTATATATTTATATATTTATATATTTATATATTTATATATTTATATATTTACATATTTATATATTTATATATTTATATATTTAGTTATATTTTTATATATTTATATCTTTATATATTTATATATTTAAGAAAAAATTAAAAATTAAAATATTAAATTTTAAAATAATATTTTATTTTTAAAAACAAATATTAGAAAAATGTTTAAAAATATATATAAATTATATTTACATGTACAAAATATTAAAGATATATGTTTATATCTTTACATATTTATATATTTATATCTTTATATCTTTATATCTTTATATTTTACATATATTTATATCTTTATAATTTTACATATATTTATATCTTTCCATATTTATATATTTATATATAATGATATAAAGATATTAGTTTTGTATACAAATAATATTATAATATAGTATATTATACTATTAGTATAGTATACAAATAATATATTAGTATAGTATAGTATACAAATTATTAATTTTGTAATTTATATACAATGAAAATAATATAATGGTATATTAGTATAGTATAGTATATTTGTATTCTAATTTTTAATTAAACTAAAATTACGCTAATAATGTATAATAATATATGAGGGGATAATAAATTTAATCCAATTACATTTATATATATATATATATATATATATATATATATATATATATCCTTTTTTAACTTTTTTTTCTTTTTAAACTTCTCACATTCTACATTATTTTTAAATTCTATCATTTTTACTATATTATCATCCTCATTTCCTCCTATATTCTATTTTATCTTTATAATAATTAGTCTTATTTTATAGAATACTTTATTTTCTATTTTTATTATTTATTTTCTTATAACTTAAAATAATTAATATTATTTTAACATTTATTTTTATGATTTTTACTATAATAAATCAAATTAAATGATTCGATAATATCAATTAATTAAAATCATCACATAAAAAATTTAGATAACTACATTAACATTATTAATTTTAAAAATACAAAATATATTTAAAAAAAACTCAAATTATAGATTAGAAATAAAATATAATAAATAAATACTCTTTACTTTATATTATATTTAAGTGTGTGCACAAATGTTGACCTTCTTAACTATAAAGAAACAAGTAGAACAATATAAAGATAATATTTGAAGAAGTGAATTTTGAAGATAAAGACTATTTTTATATAAATTTATTCTAGTATATCAATTAACAATAATAATACATACAATTTAAAAACTAAACTAAAACAAGTAAGTTTAAATTTATAAAAAAATACATTATTAAAAGTATCATATTATATTAAGATTTTCATTATTTTCGTTAATTATAAATTTAAAAGTGTTTCATAAATAAAATTATAAATTTAAATGTATTTCCACTTTTGATCCATCATAAATAAAAATAAATAGTTTCTTATAAATGTTGTTCTATTTTAATTCATCCTTAAATTTGTTTTATATACGAATTTGATGACTTATCATATTATTAAAAATTTGGATGAAATAATTATGTATAATATTTTTTTAGTATATTATGTTTTTAAATTTGTTAATAGAGAAAAAGTTTCAGAATTCAAAATGTTAAATACTTTTAAATATTAAAATTGACTTTATAAAAAATTAGGAAAAAAATAATTAATCCAAAAATATAATAATGATAAAAATATTATAAAAAAGAGTTCAAAAATGTATTATAATATTTTCAGTTTTAGTTTAATTATATTTTTAATTCTCAAACTAGAAAAATATATTGTAATTATTTTAATTTAATAAAATATAATTTAGATTTTTAATACTAAAATTAAAATATTAAATAATAATAAATTTAATTCTTTAAATTTTGTATTTAGAAACAAAAATTATAGTTTCTCTCTTTTAAAAAATTAAAATAAATATTTAAAAATAAAAATAAAAACTATTATTATCTTAAATTTATTAAAAGTATAATTAAATCTCTATTTTCTTATGCAATTTTAGAAATTTTTTAATGAAAATCCAATATATAAAAAAGTTAAAATTTTAAAAAGGCACAACCTTAATTTATATTAACTATTTTTAATATAAATTTAAATATATGTTGAATATAAATTTTAAAAAATCACAACCTTAACTATGTTGAATATAAATTTAAATATATTTTTCATTTATTTAAATATAATTTAGTTTTAGTCTTTATAAAATAGATTAATTTTTAATTTTTAATCTTTTTTATTAATTATGTTAAAAATGAAAAATATTAATTAGTATACTTAAACTAAAAAATATTTTAACTAAAGATAAATATATTTTTATAAATAGTTTAATTAAATAATATATTTATTATCTAATGTATATTGGTATAATTTTTTTTGGTATATCAATTATATGACAACAACCATGATTAAGTAATTAATAATAATAAAGCAATAAATTTAAAAATTAGATTAAAAATAAAGTATTATAAAATAAAATTGTATTAATTTGATTAAAATTGTAATTTTTTAATTAATTAAGTTAATGAAGAATTAAAATGTGATAATTTGATGTGTTTAATTTTTTTAATATAAATTTTTAAAATATAATTTAATTTCAATTGAAATTTTCAATTGAAAAATAAATTAAAGAATATATGTTATTAAACTTTTCTTAAACAATGTATTGAATAGTTAATATCACTCTAGTCTTAATTTATTACAATTTAAATTTTTAATAAATTTGATTTATTTTTAATAATATTTTTATTTTAGTAATTTAAAATTAAAGTTAATCTTCATTTTGTTAATATTAAGACCAAAGTTTATTTTTAAAGTATATTTTAAAAATTAAATTATTTTTAAAAAATAAATTGTAAAAAATAGACTAAAACAATTAAAGTATATTTATAAAAAAATAAATTTAAATATAATAAAAAAATAATATTCATTAGCGTACCGATTTCAATTCGGTCGCTATTTTTTCATTAGCGATCGATTTTAACTCTGGTCACTATTTCAATATGTAATTCGGTCACTAAATCGATCGCTAAATGATTTTTTTATTTTAGTATGGAATAGCCACTGATTTAGCGATCGAAATTTGCGACGCAAACTATTGGTCGCTATTTCGATCGCTAAATAAAAAAGTGAAACCAAATCATATTTTGGTGGTTAAATTGATCGCTAAATTGCGACCGAATTAACTTCGGTTGCTAAATCGGTCACTAATTGCGACCGAATTAAAGTGGTCGCTAAATTGGTTGCTAATTACGACCAAATTAAATCGAGTCAGCTAATTACGACCGATTTAATTCGATCGCTAATTTCGATGGCTAAATGTGTTTTTTTTTTGTAGTGTTTTATTTTTAATTTTAATATATTTTATTTTTAAGTATTCTTAGATTTATTTTTTTTACAATTTTTATTTATATTAAATGATAATAAATTGAAAATATTAAAAAAATAAAATCAACAAATCTCGTTACCAAGCACGATTTTCCCTTGCAAATTCGTCTCTCATGGCAAGATTTGTCCATTTTGATAATTTTTTTAATTGTAAAAAAACCCCAATCATAATATATATATATATATATTATGCACGCGAAAATGTAAACACATATTATCTTGAAAAGAAAACTTATAATAAGCAGAACCCTTATTCAGGCAAAGGATAAGAAACCATAAAAATCTCTTAAATAAGGCCACAAAACAAAGCTAAAAGGGATAATACTTTGAGTACAACGATTAGGGCCAGCACTAAAATGCAATATAATATACAACATATCCTAAAGAAAGAATGTCTTTATATTACCTGGTCCGAGGATTGTTGTCTTCCCTACAATCCCACCAACCACCTTTGTGCCCCTCAACCATTGCCTCCAAAAAAACCTATCATAAACAATATGACTCCAACTCTTTCACTTCCTTTGACACCTTGACTTACCCACCTAGCTAAACATAAAGACAGGAGGATATGGCCCTTGGGAACCCTTCAGCTCTTCCCTCCCCATTCCGCCTCCTGTCTTTTCTCCTCTTCTCCCTCCTCTGCCATGCCATCGCTACCACCTCTTTTGCCGCCGCCACCACCACCACCCAACTCGGCTTGGTGCGAAAACCGGTTCCCGATTTCCTCATCTTCCGGGAAGCCCCATCATTCCGCAATGGAAACACATGCAACCAAGAGAGAATCCACATTTCCATGACACTCGACTCAAACTACCTCCGAGGCACCATGGCCGCGGTTCTCTCCATTCTTAAGCACTCCACGTGTCCAGAAAACGTCGAGTTCCATTTCCTCTGGGCAAGGTTCGAGCCCCTGGTGTTCATCAGCATCAGGTCCACCTTCCCTTATCTCAACTTCAAACTTTACCGCTTCGACTCCAGTAGGGTACGTGGCAAAATCTCCAAATCCATCCGCCAAGCTCTGGACCAGCCTCTCAACTACGCTAGAATCTACCTCTCCGACATTCTCCCCGGTAGGGTTTTATGGTGTTATTTGCATAATAACATTCAAGCATGTGTTTTGGACGATCTTTTCTACAAATACAAAATTTTCTTGGAAAGAAAGAAAAAAAATTATATCAGCTTACACAAAATGTTCTTTTAATCTAATAAATTGACGTTGTCACACGTTGAACCTATTCATATGATCAACAGAGACATGTACTAAATTTTTACCCGTGTGTAAAACTTATCATATCAATAAACTCGCAGGAAAAAAGAAACTCAAATAATTTGTTTCTTTGAGAAGTTTATCGTAACATGTTTATAATAAAATAATAGTTTGATACTACGGTGATCCTTACTTGCAGGTTACGTGAAGCGCGTGATATACCTCGACTCTGATATCGTGGTTGTGGATGACATTGCTAAGCTGTGGGAGGTTGACTTGGAGGGGAAGGTGCTAGCCGCGCCCGAGTATTGCCACGCGAATTTCGTGAATTATTTCACGGATTTGTTCTGGAAGGACAAGGAGTTGAATGCAACATTCGAGGGAAGGAAGCCCTGCTATTTCAACACGGGGGTGATGGTGATGGACGTGGAGAAATGGAGGGAAGGGAAGTACACGGAGAAGGTCGAGGGTTGGATGGCGGTGCAGAAACAGAAGAGGATCTACCACTTGGGTTCTTTGCCTCCTTTTCTGCTGGTTCTGGCTGGGGAGTTGAAGAGTGTGGACCACAGGTGGAACCAGCATGGGTTGGGAGGAGATAACCTTGAAGGCAAGTGCAGGAGTCTGCATCCCGGGCATATTAGTTTGCTGCATTGGAGTGGCAAGGGGAAGCCTTGGTTGAGGTTGGACTCCAGAAGGCCTTGCTCTGTTGATCATCTCTGGGCACCCTATGATCTCTATCGTCCCAATACTCATTCTTTGGAAGAATAAAAGTTATTAAGGTTGTTGGGGATAGTGGAGGTGGAGAAATTATTAAATGGTCTTACAACATCACTTGCTCACAGGAAGATTGGTTGAGAATAATGCTGATATAAAGCCATGTAATAATTTCTTTAGGTCAGGAGAGAGAAGAATCTAAAGCCAACACACATTACATCTTGGGAAGCCTGGAAAAATAAAAAAAAATCTAGTTGAGGGGTTAATGAGTAGAAAGGAGGAAGAAATTAAAACAACAGGTAAAGTACCAATAACCATTTGCTAAAACTTGTTTTTGGTTGGTTTGTTTGTTTCAGGGATATAATTGAAGAACTTGTTGAGCGTTGAAATTGCCAAGAGTTTGATAAGACTAAGGGACTACTAATACAGGTTTTTTTGCAGATTGGTGTGGAAGAAAAGGAAAGATCGGGGGCTTTAAATGCCAGGGTATGATCCAGAAAGCACACAAACAGAATTAATGTATATCGGTCAAAGCTTGTATGTAATACGATATTAATTAATTTTAATTATCTTTTTAATATCTTGATAGACTTTGTACATTTTCCCTGGATGTGAATGTAGTTAGAGCGTTTTTGCTGATAATAGATCGAATAAACTATCCACGCAAAGCTATATAATCATTGACAAGTTCGATCCTAACACGAATCCAGTTCTTGATCGTTCACAAGGAGTGTAGGTAACTGTTGTTGTCTAAATTTTTAATGTTCTAATATAGCTAAAACGGGATTATATAATGTTGTAAAGTATACTTATATTGGTTCGAAATATTATTACAAATAAAAACAAAAACAAAAACGGGTTTATATAATCAAATATAATTTACATAACTTTCTCACGTAATATTTTTTATTCATTCCATTTCATCTCATTCTTAATGTTTTCAATGTAGCAAAAATGAAACACCAATTTTGTTCAGTTCAATAAAATAGTTTTAATTTTTTAATAATGCTCCACTATATATGTATAATATAAATTAATTAAAAAGTTGGATAAAAAAAGTAACTATGCATATTAATTAATAAAAGAGTAATTAATATTATTTTTAATTTAATAAATATTAATAAATATAAACAAAAATATTTCAAAATGTCATAAGTAAAAAGAACTGAGGATTATACCATTATTGTATATTATCGTGCATTCGTATTTTTGTTTTCTCGTGTTATTTATTACCTCTGGTCCTCATTCCTTTTTCCATCTTAATTGTTCGATTCTTTAAAATGATTTTATTTTCAATTATCTATAATTTTCAAGTTTAATATATAAATTGAATATTTGAATAAAATAAAATTATGTCTCTCTTGGACAAGTTCATTATTAATTGTAATGGCTAGTTACCCAAAATACTGTATCATTATCCGAGTTTTTTTCGTCTTTGGTTCGACATTAGGGTTGTCCAATGGTCACCTCCTTTTAATTTGGTCATTAAGCTGTCGTTTAAGTAAGGAGTGAATCTTAGAGAGTGAAAAAGAGGAGAATGATAGTGGGGAGTGGGATTCTTTAGATCAAGAGAAAGATAATAGAAAATAAAAATAAATGAGTGAAAAGATTGAATAAGACATGATTAATATGATTGAATAAAAAAATTATCATAATAATTAAAGATGTATAATGATCAAAATAGTTTTATATTGATAAAAGATATAATAAATATAAATTAGAATTGTGATATAATTTAATTTAAATTAATTAATTTATATTATACATAAATTTGTGACATATATTTAAATTATATAAAAAAATTTGTGATATTTTTAAAAATGTTTATTATGTTAATAATAATTTATATTTTTTATTAAAATTGTGAAAATTTGATTTTACATAAAATACAATATTTAAATTTTAAAAAATAAACTAAAACGTGCATTAAATGTGAAAAGTCATCCAAATTTAAACTAAATGAAAACTACATTCATAATTAATAAAATTATAGTCATAAAAACATGAAATTATCCAAATAACTATTATAGTCATCCAAAATAAAAAATAAAGGTAAATAAATTATAGTCCTCCAAAATTAAAAAAAAAGTACAATTATCCAAAATTGAAAAAAATTGCAATCATCTAAAATAGAAAAAAAAATACAATCATCCAAAAAAGGAAAAAAAGTACAGTCATCCAAAAAAAAGTTAAATAAAAAAATAAATAGAAAGATATTATAAATAACATGATTGAGATCTCGACTCAAGACTCTCACAAATATGATCAAATTACGTTTCTAAACTTATCAATATGCACATAATTAATTCATCTTTGTAGACTCTGATAACTATTTTCAACATTGGCTTCAAGTCTACTCATACGTTTTTGCATATCCTGAATACCTCCTCATATTAAGCTTATGATATCTAGGGAAGATATATTTGTTCTCCTTGAGCATGTGGTTGTGCTTATTCATGTTCAGGTTGTTGGACATGGCGACTCCTGTCATGTTGTCATGCCCCATCAATATTTATGACATTCAACTTTTTAAAATATCTCTCGTTAAATTTATTTGTCCATCCAAGACAGTGACTTGACTATAAAGTCAAGTCCAAGCCATAGTGTAGTAGAATACGAGTGATTAGAAGATCGTAATGTAGAGACATACTATTAGTCTTACATTTTCTCATATGTCTGATGATATAATAAGGTCAATTAATCGGAATGTGATTTTTTATGCACCATATCATAAATATATCATCCTATAAGACTTGAGCATAATTTTCTGATCGAGAACTAAGCATAGGAACGAACACATAATGTAAAAGTTTGTCCTCCACGGTCAAACTACTAACATTCCTTCAAGTTCGTACTTGTAGTTTCGGTCTAACCATCGTAGTCAGTGTCTCATCCCTATCGTATCCCAGGTCTTCAGAGATATCATTAAGATCAATCTGATGACCCTGATATTTCCAATGGATTAGATTTAACTAAGCATCAAGTCTTAACCTGATCTGTGTCTGTAAGACCTTAGTTACTAGCTCGTTAGAGTCAATCAATTTTAAATTTGAGTAGAAGACGTTTATGAGGTATTTATAAATATTATCTGTCAAGGTTAGAAATCTATCTAACTCCTGACAAGAAAGGTGATGTTGGAATTCAAGCCCATCCATAATGAAGAAGTTCAAGTCTATTATCTTTGGTTGCACTATGGGCCTGTGGACATAATCTCTATAATATTTTTCATTTATCATTCGTTACTGAAGTAACGATCATGGTCTAATAAAGTAGGGAAAGGAGACAAGTTAGGAGGAGGGATAGGTGCAGACTCTTCTACCGTCTTTTTCCCCCTACTTTGTGACTCATGTCTCTGTCTCTTTGGTCTTGATGACGATGAAGACATAATTCAAACCTATAAAACATTAATATTAAAACATCAAGGGGTCATTGTTCAAACAAACATAGTCCAAACCAAAATAGTTCAAACATTTCACACATCATAACGATGCAAATTAAATGTCATAAAATCATCTAATAGGAGCCTCACTCATGTGCTTCAACAAATAATTAAGTCGCAACTGTGGAGGCATGCCAAAAATCATGTCCCTGTGCATGGGGTTTGTGTAGATAAACTCATAACACTATAACATTAACTGATCATCATGCAAATCTCGCAAAGCAGTTGTCATATATCGTTAGCTGAATGTTACAATGTTACAGAGTTGTGTTGGGTCATCACTTGTTCCCTCCTCAAGTCAGTATGCCTCTCCATTACATCGATCTGGTGCTCAATAGTAATAACTTGACATTCAATGAGATCAGTCAACCTTGCAGAGTATCAGTTGCTCTCACCAATTTTGTCCACTAGGTTGTGCATCTTTATGCTCATTTTTTCAAATTGAGTACTCAGGTCTGCATCTACCATGGACGTCTTTCTCTTTGATTCTCGTGATGAAGATGTTCCTGCAGAAGGGACAGAAGGGATAGATGGAGAGACCCTTGGACTATAAGAGTCCATATGGGGTGGATTCGACTACATCTCACGAAATATTGGATTATACTCATCGTGCATAAAAAGATTTGTAGCAGCATCATTCATATCAACACCTAAGTCCATTGTGAAACCCATGCGTTTATGGACTTTGCGTGTCGTCCCTGTCATGTGCCTAGTGGCACAATCAACTCCTTATAACTCTACCAACAAGTCATAGAATTTGATTGGGGTTACTTGCCATTTAACAACAAATGGTTTAGCCTGAAAAAAGGAATAATGTTTACACACTCATTGATGCAACATTTAATCATTACAAATCATTGTTAAAATATATTTTACACACTCATACCACGAAAATAGAGTGCATTTGATCGTGGTACCTTGACTCGAACATGAGTTTCATCAATCGTCCCAAGACAATCCTTAAAATAAGGGTAGAATCTTGTATTATTATATATATGTGGTTAGACATCCCTTCCAGAGGGTTGAACAAAAAATTCTTCCTCAAATTCAATGAATGCATTTGACACATTGTGAAAATGTCAACTAAAGGTCACACCAGCTGATGAAAGAAAAAGGAGATAGTTTGATATTTTACATTATGTCCTAAGATATGTAAACATTTAACAATTTCTTCTATTATTGACCTAAACGCATATTTTACCATATTAGTAGTTTTTAATCGATGACACAATTGGATGAAGGCCTCAAGTACCATGCAAATAATATCCCGACATCGCTCTAAATGCATAAGATACAACATCAACTCACATCTATGACGATCTTTTTCAGGACCATACAAGTTAACATTTCTAGTAGTGGTAGACATCATTTCTAACATGTATAATGCATAGAAAACATTACACATTATCGTTGGTGCCCAAGCTTTCACATTTTGTTATATTTGCTCTTAAGCATGACATATTATATTCATGTTCATCTCCAAAATATTAGTAGTCATTTGTTGTTCATTTTCTAAATCCATGTAATCTTCCACTCCATTCTCCATGATGAAAGAACAATTTCTATGTAGACAAAAATATTTTATTTTAATTAATTATATCATATTATGGATAAT